TAATTCATTTTTAACTATTTGAACATGAGTTGAGAAGGGAACTTTTTTAAAATAGTCATTGTAATTTTTACACTCTTTGGGCATTCTCCTAAATCCATTTAAAACTAAATTCAGCTGCTTTTTCTTGAGGATTTGCATGGCTTCCTTTCCCCACCTTTAAATAAAAACAATAAAACTGGATCCTTTTATTATTTTTTTAACTATAAATTGCAAACATGTTACCTGATACTAGATTATTTCATTCTCATTCAAATGCATTCAGAAACCCCAAGTGGTTGATCCCCAACTTTGGTAGAAATCAAAAACTACTATCTTTTATTTGGTACCAAGTTCTAATCCAAAGGAGCTGACATGAGTGAAAACATTAAGTCAGTGACAGGTCAAACTGGGTGTACTCACTTAGCCAGAACTTTGAAAGAAGGGCTCCAACACATATAAAAGTGGAAAGAATTGTGGGGTGAACCCTCCTGTACCCATCAGCCAGCTTCAACTATTACCAATACATGACCAGTCTTGTTTTATCTATAAGCAACCACTTCCCTAACTGCCACCTTCCCCACCAATTATTTTGAAACAAATTCCAGACATCATAGCATCTTATTTGTAACTATTTCAGAATATATCTCTCAGTGAGTAGGATTCCTTTAGGAATAAAATGTAGATACAATAGTCGGTACAACACAACCAGATCTAGTGGTGTATTCATAGGAACACACGGCTCCTAATATTACTTCTTTACTAAAGGAGATCCCCTTTTAAAAATTGGGTTTAGAGTAATGGCTAAAATGTTTTGCATAAGTCTTAGAGAAACCCAATCTTCACAACATTTAGGAAAACTACCTCAAAATATGATGACATTAAATTCTCCAAGTGAAATTTTTCTAGCTAAGCTTACTAACTTTTATGTTTATTTTGGGAAAAGATTTTGAGTGTTTCACTATTATCCGGGTGACATCAGGAGTGCTAAGTGATGATAGGTGATCATCAGAAGGCCAGACCTCTCAGCCTGCTTGCCTGCCTGTCCACTGAGAATTCCTAGGGAAAGCTGAACGACTGTAGCAAGAGCCCAGCAGGTCACTCTCCTACAAGGCCATGCCAATTTCCATGGTCCCTGCCAAGCTAAACTGCTTATGGTCCCTAGAATCCTTCCTTCCCTACTGCTCTTTCAACTCTCAACGTTCACTTCACTATTACTGCTATGAAAATGCCATATCCCTGAAGTGTTAGAAAAGATGAAAAATGGAGACTACCCCATCTTCAGTCCCTTTTATGAATGCTGCTCTCGTTTGACTAAAACTTTGACGGTCTTTTGTTAATTACCTGGAACCATGCACAGTAACTGGATATTGTGTACTGAATAAATGATTCTTAACTTGTATTCCATAAAATTTAATAGTGCTGTGCAGAATGCAGGCACTCAGTACACAAGCATCACATGGGGGTGTTAACAAAATGATGCGCGGAAAATGACTAGACCATTTATTCTGCCTGCAGCATACACCAATGAAAGAAAAATATTTAGTCATTTCATATAGATTTTCGCAATCTATGTTGCAAGTAAACCACTCAAAAAAAAATTGTCTTTTTCGAAAAAAAATTCTCTTACCAGGTAAAGATTATTTGTTAATATACAAGTACAAATTTCCTGAATATTGCTCACAGCACTTCTACTTCTGTTTTAGTAATCACGCTAGTTCTATAAAATGCAAACTAGTGGATAATGAATATTTAAAAGCCTATGATTAAAAGGAACAGACACATACCAAAAACCCATACAATCCAAGCAATGCCATGTTTTGATGCATCCAGTTTGGTTTAGTAATCACCTTTGAATCTGAAAACCAATGAAGTCCAAACCCAACTTTCTTTTCCCATAAAAAAAAAAAAAAGTGCACAGTCAGCCCTCCACTTCCTCTGAGAAAGAGTTCACAGCACCAGACAAGAAAATTTGAATGAATCCAACCAACTGCACTGCAATTTCCAAGAAAACACAGAGCATAAACCACCAGAAAGCATAATATTACAAGTTTACCCCTTCCTTTCTACTATCTCCCTGCAGTTCTGAGCCGTCGTGCAGAACCTCTTCGTCTTTTCAGAGGCTGGTTAATGGCAGTGAGGCTGTGCCATCACACACCTAGCTTCCTTCCTCCGCCCACCTCACTGGAAGGCACGTGGGGCCCCACAGGACGGCGCAGCGACAGCACCGTCCCTGTCCGGAGACCGGGCCTTTCTGGTCTTGCGCAGTCATCCTGCTCTGCGGACGACCTGGGCATCACCACGCGGTGCACCGCGACCTTCCGCCCTGCGCGCCCCTCCGGCACTGTGGCCCGAGCCGACCTGCAAAGCAGCCTGCCCGGGATCCGAAATCCACAGGTGGTGGGCGGGAAGGGAAATGGTCGCTGCCCAAGGGAAGGCGCTCCGTCGTTTTCCTGCATGCACTTAAGTTGGTTCTTAGCTCTAAGTGAGAAATGGGAAGGGGAGAAAGTGTGCCCACCCTTCCAGAAAAGGTGAGCGGCCAAGGCTGCTTCCAAACGGAGGGAAATTCAAACCCATCACCTGGCCGGACGAGCCTAGCCTCGGCGCGCGGCGGTGCAGGGGCGTGTGCGCACGGGCAGCCCGCGCCAGGCTGTCCCCGAGCCCGACGCTCCTTATCTTAGAGTCCCTTTGTCCTGCTGAATATGCCAGATCTGGGGACCCGAGCCTAGAGGCCAGCCTCGGTTTCCCACAAGTGCGGGACGAACGAGGTGGGTGCGCCCGACCGCGCGCCCTGGGGAGGCGGCCACTCACCTGCGCTCTGAAGTAGAGGAACAGGGCGACGCTGCAGACCACCTGGCCCAGCCCCAGCCCCAGGAGGGCCACGAACATGGAGCGGG